AGAAAAAGAACGCAAAGCTGGGCGGGTAAGTAAATAGGGGGCAGACGTGGGAGGAGTTGTGGAGTGAATACGAGCAATACACGTGACATAAAGTTCCCAAATGTTGGAAGACTAGCTCCTAATTCTCAGTGGGTCCAATGATAAAACTCTGATCAGCTGATATAAATAAGTGGCCCCATATAGCCTGAGCCATTTTTATTTATATACTTCCAATGGTTTGGATGAATAGTTTTATAATCAAGTTTATTTCTTTAAGTTTCTAATAATGGCTACAATAACTGTCAGTTTGTTTCCTTACCTCATTCTCCTTCCATCCCTTAACTGGTAACCATTACCTACTTGGCTCATAGCTCTAATGACAAAATCATAATAGGTATCGCAGGCAACAAAGAAAGTTTTCTAACTAGGCATACCTATAGGTAGAACAGTGTACCCAGTTGGCAGTATTTTCAGTTACAACATCATGCAAAATAAAAGAGAGTTTTGCCATTAGGTGGTTAATGCTTACCTTTGGACAAATATAAATTCTCATAATCAACTTATCAGTCAAGGTTGGATCAATTCATTTTTCATTATCTACTACTCCAACTCTGATAGTGGGTATACCAGGGTTTTTTTTCCCTGTCATCCTGTAAACTATGTAACTAAAAAGTTTACTCTTAATAGTTGGCACTGCTTACCTCTTGTTCTCATGTCCTTCTCCTCTCAATTTCCTACAGTTTTGGCACAGCATTTAGAAATTAGATTATTATGGTTTCTATGATTCTGCTTCATTCCACGTTCCTATACTATTCCCATTAATCCCTGATGACTATTTATTATTATTTCTCCTAGACTCTTATGGCTAACATTCATTCTCTCCACAGTAGTCATGCAGGTTTGCAATGCTATGAAGTACTGTGACTCTTTTAAGGCTAATCACAAAGTGTATTGGAAAGGCAACATCCTGTTCTTAAGATCCTGAATTCATGGTCACACTTGCAATATCAAAGGCTTTAGGGGAGCCGGGCGGTGGTGGCGCACGCCTTTAATCCCAGCACTTGGGAGGCAGAGGCAGGCGGATCTTTGTGAGTTCGAGACCAGCCTGGTCTACAAGAGCTAGTTCCAGGACAGGCTCCAAAACCACAGAGAAACCCTGTC